ATGAGTAGCTTGCTGATATGCTTATGTTTTATTTGAATACACTGAGCTGCTGAATCAGTAAAAATGCTCATGCACAAAGCATAGTAAACTAATTTTTCTATCACAGCTTTCTTTSGAATTCACATTATCACAAACAAAGAATACAATCTAGCACTTAATAACTTCCTACAAATTGATCTCCGACAGAAAAAAAAATAGCTATAATAAAGTTTTAGCAGTTCTGTGCTTTGTGACAGCACCACTTTTCTCAGCATAAGAACCGCATTGGGTAACAGAATTATTACAAATGTGGTGGCACTATTTTTGTAAATCCTGTACAGTTCATGATCTGTACAACCTCATTTGTGASATTTGTCATATCATACCATTTGTTTGTAAGAAATGTAAGTTTTCTCATTTTGATGAGGAAATGATGGACGTTCAAATATAATATTAAACATCCACGAGCTTGCCTTGCCTATCAAGATGAAAATGTTTTGTCAAAACAAATTTAAATAGAAAAGAGACATAAATTATAATTAAATTCATAATGATATATAACTATCAGCTTCCTCTAAAAGAGGTACTTTAAAGTGGTTTTAATGGCAAAGTTATCAGTTATTATTATTCTGGAAACTGTGAATTACCCAGTGTTTTTAATGACTGTCATGGCAAGACAAGGATGATCCCGGTATGGTGGCCAGAGGAGAGGCAGGCTGGCATTTCTGCTGCTTTCTTTGTGCCTGCTATGATTTTACACTCCCCAGGCCGAGGAGRACACAGCTGTGGGAAAGCCCCCAGTCTTGTTTTCCTGTGTCATCACTGCCCCACTGGGGACGAGCTGTTGGGAGGGTGATGGGAGAGACGSAACAGGAGGGAGCCCCGTGGTCCTGCACAGTCCCTGCTGAGCCCCTGCCGAGTCCCAGCGCACGTAGCCACACACAGGTTCAGTTTCTTACCATCAAAACCCATTTGCAGACAGCCGAGCTGATCAGCCTCGCKTGGGGTTTTCATTCAAAATAGGGTCAGGAAAGTAAACAAACAATTTTCTAGAAAAAAAAATCCCCTTGTGCATTATATGTTTAAATACATTAGGAGTGTTAGCCCAAACATGTAGAAGCTTCTTGTATATTTATGGTGCTGAATTCAACAGAGCTGAAGGAAACTAATCACTGACCTGCTTTTCTGGGAATACAAGGTCTCAGAATGAAATCTACCGCTCCTCTGGAGAGAAGATACATGCACTTGGGAGAGAAAGCAAGCTGGTGCCAAATTCCTGTCTTCTGACTTTGTTGTAATAAAAGTTCACATGGYACTTCAAAAGCTGTGCTTAACCCAGAATATAAATTTGCTTAAAGCAATGAATTACCTTTTAGGACAGGGTGTTACCAAAGAGTGATTGTTGCTCCAACAATCTGCAGCAGGAACCTTTGCCATCCAGCTGCTGTCAGCAGATGCGCAGAACGATGAAAAAATCAAAAAGCTTCTATACATTACAGCTCACCAGCTAAMAGCCTATTTCCTTGCCTCCTCTGTGTTGATTTTTTTTCCCCCAAACAAATACAAAAACAAAATAAAACCCTAAAGCAGTAACAAGCAAACAACTTCTTAGRGGTTTTTCATCTGACAGATGCATCCCAGTGGGAGGGGTTAGACTGGGCAGCTGCAATGCCTGCAGGGTGGCACTGCGCTCCTTGGCTGCTCGTTCCAGCCTCASACGATGGGTAACCGAGAGCTTCTCTCTGAGGTATCAGGCACAATGACATCATATTTTGCAGTGGAAGAAACACAGCATGGTATGGATGGAATAATGCAGAGCCTGCAGACATCCTTCCAGAAATGTTTATGCCTTAATCTGCTGGAATTCACCATAAAATGGTTTGTAAAGGCAATATGCTATCTAAGCAGCCTCTCCAGTTCTAGAAAACAGATGCAAAACAACTGYTCCTAGAATGGAAAAAAAGGGTAAGGTAAGCCTTAATTATGTTTTGACTGAACACAACCAAGAAAAAAATGAATCAGATGAAAACAATCTTGACCCAAAAGGAGCAGCAAAAGCAAACACTAAAGCACATGGGTCTGAGGTTGGGTGGGGAAAGGGGCTGTAAGAAATCCAGATATGTTTGTAGGAAAAGGCAGTTGTTTAATCTCTGCCCTAACAACTGATCRATGGTCTAACAGATGAAATTTTGTTTCCCTTAAGAGGCTTGTTCTYTCAAAATGAGAATTTTATATGCACAGTGTTCTGACCTAAAATATTTCAATTCTAGCCTGAATTCCTATGCCAGCAGGGATTATGAGATCATGCTGTCTGTCAACTCCTCTTTCGTCCATCTGTTCCCCTCTTCCTTTTCTTGATAACTTCTGAACCTTCTGGCTAATTTTCACCAAATTTGACAAAGCAGAGATACGATGAAGGCTGCAATATTACTCCATGATGAAAAAWTTCATGGAAATTCCATGTCTAAATAGAAAGAAAATGAAATTATTTCCTGCATTGAACATTTTGAGCTCTTCCCTGTTTTCAAGAGGTGGCCACTGGCCAGCACCAACCTGCTGCTCCAAACCTGCTACAGAATGAGCATACAGAGCTGCTTGCCCAGGTAAACAGATGGGGACATAGGTTTTGGGAAAGGCCACCAGGGAGGTGGGATATCGTAGCCATGTGAGTCTGGAAAGAGGGAGAGGAACCAGTCACACAGGGAACTGAAGGCAAGAGTTGCAGCAATCCAGACAGACAATTTGATAGATGAARGACAGGCAAACTTTTATCAGATGTATCTTCTTCCATCTAGGATGTGGATTCATTGGCAGAGCTGAATTTGGACAGCAGAATTTTAGGAATTTTTCTAGGTGTAYAAAATTTGCTTTTACTCAGGCATTTTTTACATGTGTAACACTGGTATTTATGAAAAGAAACCAAAACCCCAAACCACAATACTGTGAAGCACAAGTCTGCAAAACACCGCTGTAAGAGAAGTTGATTTTAGTCCAAGTAACTGACTGAAGTGAAACAGCAGGGTCTTACGAAATAAGCTGGTGARTGCTTTTGTCCCTTCCCCATCAGACAGACACAATGCACTCTATCTGCAAGATGATTTGAAAACTTCAGCCAGCCTAAATTGCAGCTGCCTATCAGGCTGTCTTCCTGATGGGGAGGAATTCAACACTACGGTTCTTTTTACCCAWGAGAACTGCCTGCCAGGTCAGGGTTTAGCTTAAAAATGTCTTGCACAGACCRCATTATCCCACAAATCAACATGCTGCACTTTGCAAGGGATACAGGTGCTGATTTTAATCCAGAAAATCTAATGTGAGCTTGTCTCAGCTGTGCTGAGTTGCAAGGTTGYTCATTTCCCTGTGTTGATTCATTTCAACAATTGCATTAAGTSAGATTAGAGAAGCTGCACATTTAGGACAAGTAGTGGGAGGGTTCAACCACCCACATACRGACTGGGTCAATGTCTCATCAGGGTGAAATGTAGAGATAACATTTTTGGATACAATAAATTATTTCTTTCTAGAATAATTGGCCTTATGAACCACAACAAAAAGAATGCCATTCCGAATTTAGTCTTCAGCAGTGCAGAAGATCTAATTCAAGAGCTATTAGTGGGTGAGCTGCTCAATAGTAGCAACCACAACATAATTAAACTTAACACTAAAATGAATGCAAGACAAAGCAAACAGATACTCAATTTTAAGAAAACGACCTATGCAAAAATGGGGAAAATGCCAAAAAAACCCTAAGTGCGCAGTTCAAAACTAAGAAGACTACAAACACCCAGAAGGCTTAAAAATACAGTTCCAGAAGCCAAGGTAAAATGTCTGACATAAATAGAAAAACATGGCACAAACATCCCCCCCCCCGCATGACTCAATGAGAAATTTAAGGAGGATATTGCAAGGCACATGGGGAAGCCCAGGAAAACATGGCATGTGAAATGTAAACAGGAAGCGAAGATGGCTAAACGTGAGGAGTGGCTGATAAGGGATGCTCAAAGTGTTAGTGACAAGTTTTACATGACGCTTGTCTGAGAACCAGCCTTTGCAATGCAGAGTTTACACAATTTATGTCGAGAGCTTTCTGGTGACTGCACGGGCAGCAGCAGCCAAAGAGCCAAGAAAACAGGGAGCATTGTAAGGAAAGGCACTGGAAATGAGGATTCCATAGAAAACCTTGGTACACCCATGCCTTGAGGACTCTAAGCAGTCTCATCTCTGCACCYTGGTCAAGACACAACAATGCTGTAAAAGTTTCAGAGGAAATCATTTGGAATAATGCTGGGAATAGAGCACTGGCTCCACAGAGGCCAAATTTCAGAACTCTCCAAGCTGGAGTGGACAAAGCTAMAGGAAAATGTACCAATGGTTTGTAAATTGCCATGAATGCCATGGGTAAGGTACATGCAGAAGTGGCATTGACCAAATCCTTTAGTGCTAGTGCCAGAAATAATTTGATGGGTTTTAAGAAAGCTAAAAACCAATTTAAAAGTCCCTTTTCAAGCAGCACATAAGGATGTTCTTGGACGTTGCCTTGTGAAGTTTTTTKGGGGRTATCAGSATGTTCAAAAAGGCACCAGRCAAATCCACGGACATAAAGCCCATGAATTACTGCAAGGACTAAGCAGAGGTGAAAACCACCAACACAGCAGCAGTGGGTGCAAATGGCAGGAGTGTCCCCCGTTAGCCACGCCTGGGCTTCAGGAAGGCTGCTGGGGACAGCGGTCAAAGCTGGACGACATCAGTTGCACTCAGGTGTGCCCCCTCCTCCGCCTCCCGTGTGCTGGGCAGGGGAAACGGGGAGCAARGTCCGSGGGGAGCAAGGTCCGGGGGGAGCTGCGGGAAGGACACGAAGCCATCGGATCGCGGTGACGGCCCTGAGGGAAGCGCAGTGCGGCCGCCAGGAGCCCCGCCCACATGACGTCACTGCTCGACAGGCCCCGCGCGAGGCGGAAAGCGGCGCGCATGCGCAGGGGCCCTGTGGGCGGGGCGGGTGCGCGCGCAAGCGCGGCGGGCGGGGCAGGGCGGGAGCRTCGCGCGCGCGGCGGGCGGTTCGAGCTGTGGGCGCTTCCCGGAACCTCCCCTCAGCCTTCCCTGAGCCTTCCTTCACCCTCTCCCTCGGCCTCCCCGCCGCCTCCCCTCACCCTCCTTAAGCCTCCCTTCAGCCCTCCCTTAGCCTCCCCTCCGCCTTCCCGCCGTCTTYCCTCAGCCCCGCCTGAGCCTCCCTTCAGCCTTCCCGCCATTTTCCGCCTTGCTCCCCTCCCCTCAAGCCGCCGCTGCGGCAGAGCAGAGCGCTAGGGTGAGTATGGAGCGCTGCTGTGGTCTCGGGACTCGCTCCCGGCAGGACGGGATCAGCCGGCACCACCGCGTCCCGGTTCCCCTCCGACCTCTCGTCCCGGTCGGGATCCCTGTGGGGCTGGAGGCAGCGGCTGCCCCCGTTGGCGGGACGTGGTCCTTCAGGGCCTCACTTGGGTGACTCCGTGTGGGGACGTCGTGGGCGCTCCCTCAGGGCTCCGGAGTTGTTTGTGTTTAATGGCAGTGCAGTGCCGTGGTGGTCCAGCGTGCCCGCGCACAGGGCTGTGTGGGCCCATTATTGCACAGAATCACAGAATCAGTAGGGTTGGGAGGGACCTTTGGAGATCATCCAGTCCAACCCCTCTSTAGGGCCACCTGGAGCAGGTTACCCAGGAAGGCGTCCACGTGGGTGGTTTGGAATGTCTCCAGAGAGGGAGATMCCACGATCTCCCCGGGCAGCCTGTTCCAATGCCCTGCCACTC